CATTCCTGCCCGTCCAGCATGCACATGCACACGCACACACACACCCCTTTACCCCACCCTGGCCCTCCACAACCTTGACCTTCCTTCTGGCCTTTGACCTCCCCTTCCCCAGCCCAGCACGTCTCAAAACTTTAGCTAAGTAAGCAGCACTTCCCTGGCCCCAAGGAGCCAAGAGCCACCTGAGCCCTGGGAAGCCTCCACTCAGAGGAGCTGCCCGGCTCACCCGGAAGCGGCAGAGGTTCCTGTCCGTCGGCGCGCTGGCCAGCACGTGCTGAGCTTCCACTTTGCCTGGAAGAAAAGGCAAAGGCGGGTAAGGGGTGTCAGTGAGGATGTGGCGCGGGGAGAAGCCAGCCTGGCGGGCCCCTTACGGCAGGTCGCTGAGGCTCAGCCACACCTGGGCCACACTGAGCCTCTCCAAGAAGCCAGGTGCTTGGCGGGGCCGCTCCACTCGGCTGGGACCAGGCAACCGGCTTCACTTGATTCTACTCAGCAGTCATCGCTGCCCACCTGCTGCTGCTGCTGAGTCCAGACGCCCTGCCGGACACAGGGGCCGGGAGCTTGCCTTAGCTTGCCTTGTCTCGTGAGGACACAGATCCCAGGGATCCCTGCCTCTGGGAACGGGAAGGCTGGGGAGGGGGCATGGTGGGTAGGGAGGCTGGGGTGGGGGATGAGCTTCCTCCGGAGGGGGTTGCATCTGTACGGGGACATCCAAGCAGAGGCTCAGTGCCCGTTTGGTAGAAACCCTCTACAGATCAGATTTCTGTAAGGTCTAACAGGAAGGCAGAAGTGCACCCCACGGCCTGAAGAGACGGTGGCAGCACTTGTGAGACTCCGTGCAGCAGGGGAGGCAGGTGATACTCCAGGTTTTACAGGTAAAACACCTGAGACTTGCAGTAAACTGTTTTCTGATGATTTTGACCTTTCTAGACCTTGACGTATGGCTGAAGGCAGAAAACCAGTCCGTATCTACATATAAAGGTTTCTAAATACTGTGGAGTATGATTAGGACAGCATCTCCGTCCCTGCTATAAGTGGTGCTCGACAGAGGATGATTTTGCCCCACCCCTCCGGGGACATTGACAGTGTCTGGAGACATTTTGGCTGTCACAACTGGGGGTGTCACTGACATCTAGTGGGGAGAAGCCAGGCAAGGGGCTAAACAGCCTACAATGTGAAGAATGGAGAATGATGTGGCCCCAAATGTGCACAGTGCCGGACACCAGGGGTGCAGCCGGCGAACAAACAGAAAGAGTCGGAGGCTCAGAGCGGTCAGGCAGCTCGACCGAGGCACGAGGTTAGGAAGTCGGCAGGAGATCCCGCGCCCTAAGCTAGGGCTGTCCAAGAGGAGTATCGCTCGAGCCACACACCTAATTTTACATTTTCTAGCAGCCTCATTAAACAAGTAGGAAAAAACGGGTGAATTACAGTACATTTTATTTAACTCAATGTAGCCAAATTGTTACCCTTCCAACACCTAATCAATATTAAAAGTTACTAAGATATGTTATTTTTTGTTTGGATGCTAAATCTTACAAATTCGGCGTATATTTTATTCTGTGCACTCACGGCACATCTTAACTCGGACGTGGGGACGGCCGGCGCTGAGCCTCTCCACCACATCCCCTCCAGCCGCGCTCCCCGAGGAAGCAGAGACCGGAGGGACAGGGTCCGCTTGTCGCCCTGGCCCACGCCCGCCGGCCAGCTCCACCCTGGGGCCCCTGAGCGGAGGGCCCCGTGCTGCCCGGGGCTCCGCGGGGCAGGTGAGCTACGGAGAGGTAAGCCCGTCCCTCCCACACAGGCCGGTGTCGGACGCCCGCTAGCCCGCGGGCCCGGGACCCCACCTGCTTGGATGAGGCCCTGCGCGATGGCCTCCGCCATGCGGCCAGCGCCCACGAAGCCCACGCGCCTCGGGCCGGACTCCGCCGCCAGCGACGCCGCCATCTCGCCACCGCGCCCCGCCCGCGCCCTCAGCGCCGCCAACGGGCTACACCGCCCAGCACCTGCCCTCGTCCATTGGCTGCCGAGACCTCACGCTCCTCCCCCTCCCGCGGGCTCCACGCTCTATCGATCGCTACCAATTGGTCTCACCCCTTCGCAGCTCATTGGCCGGAGAGATCTAGGGCGAGGAGGGGCGGGCCGCGGCGCGGGGCGCCGGGCGGGCAGCCAGAATACTGTATTGGCTTCTGTCCCGATGTATGAAATTTCCCAAGGGGCAACTTGAGCTGGTCATTTAAAGGCGAAGCGCAGGAAAGGGTGGGGTCTCCTCTGGGCTTGTCCCAGAGGTGGGTGCCTCAGGCCTCTTGGAGCCTCTGCCAGTGGACTTGGGGGTGGAGGACAGGGTTGCCTGGTCAGGGCTTGGGGTCAGCTCTTCCCCAAGTCGCAGTGGGTCTGGGTGACAGCATAAGATTGGCACAGCCAGTGAAACGTGGGAGCAGGGGTCTGCTTTTCTGTTGAAGGAGGTCCTCAGGCCAGCCTGGATTCTGGTTTCTGAGGGCCTCTCAGGGAGCTGCAGGGGAGACCTTCGTGAGGCCTAGGTCCCCAGCGGAGACCTGGCCCCTCTTGCTGGTTCCGTGGGAGATGGGAGTGCTTGGCCAGGGCCAGGGCCCACCTTAGAGACTGAGAGGGGGAGGGTGGGTGTGGGTGTGGGCTGTGCTTGTAATTTTTGATTGATATGGGAAAAACAAGGTTGAACAACTAAGACTGCAGTTTTTAAGATTGAATTTTAAAGATGTTATTTTCTTTAAGCTCTACTTTGACATGTTCTAAGCTCTTCAACAATGAGATCCCTTCATTCCTTCAGCGCTGCCCCTTCAGCGTGGGGGCCCTGCTCTGGGCTGGGCACGAAGGGCACACAGCAGTGGAGTGCACAAACCCCTACCCCGCAGACCTGCATTCTGGCTGGAGAGACAGCCCCTCTACGATAAACACACACACCCCATAACCCAAGGGACAAGTCAGGACACACAACCACTATTTGTGTCCCGCCAGGCATGTCCAGGCCTCTCTGCCCTGTGCTGGGCCTCCTTCCCCCCGTTCTCACTTGGCTGATCCAAGCTCCAACTCAGGGACCACCCCTCCCCCTCTCCCTGAACGCCCACAGGGGCAGACCCTTCAGATTCACAAAGGGCTGGCACCCAGGGGATACAGCATGAAGGGCCGACCAGGTCCTGGAGCTCCAAGCCCTGGGGGGTGGGGGAGGGGGGGGAGGGGAAGTGTTTCCAGAGAAGCAAGCAGGTGGGGTGGGCCTCAGAGAGGAAGAACCCCGTCAGCAGAGACCGAAGAGGTGGGGAGGCACTGATGTGAGAGGGGCAGGACTGGCCCCTGGAGAGGCCCGTGGGCCATGGTGGTAACAAATGCAGTGAGGGATCAGCTGGACACGGGGACGAAGGTTGGGACTTGCGTGCCTGGCACAGGGAAGACAGCCCATAGCGCCTGAATGAACAAAGGAGGTAAGGAACGTGGCAGGCGCACCTGGGGCCAGAAGAAAGCTGGGAGTCACTGGTGTGAAGACAGCAAAGGGTACCCCAGGGGAGAGGGGACCCGAGAAGAGGTGGGCCCCGGAGCCAGGGAAGGTGGGTCAACGGGTCCAGACTTTCTTGTTGAGGATGGGAGGCCTGTGCCGCTCACCTCCGTGCCCACCAGGCTCACTCTTGCGTGACACCTGTTGCTGCCCATGGGAGAAGGGCAGGCCAAGCCCCAGCACCCAAGCTGCCACCTGAGGGCTAGGGAGATGAGGGGCCAGGTCTGAACTGGCCAATCGTCACTGCTCTCCTCAGATCCATCTGTGTGCCCGCTCAGCCTGTCCAAATCCAGACCCAGCCTCTTTCCGCAAAGTCCTGGGGATGAGGGATGGGGGTAAGCCCGGGGAGTGCAGGTTACCCAGGCCTGCACCTGGCTGTGCATGGAGAGGCTCGGCTCTGGCCGCAGCCGGTGGTGACTGCCGCAGGTGCCTGCCCTTTGTCCCTGCCGGCTGACAGTCCAGCCCCTCCTGCCACCTGCCCACACACCCACCTCTCCGTGTCTCCGGCCACTGCTGCCCTTCTACCCCAGGGACAGTTGGCCGCCGTGGCCCAGCAGCTCCTGGGGGCTGGCCTGGCTCAGGAGGCAGTGCTGGGGTGGGGGAGATGGGGGGCTGATACAGAGCTGCCGGGGCCAGGCCTGTGGAAACGCACTTTATTGGCTCCCAGGAATCAGAAGCATACATGTTCTGCAACTGGCGTCGGGGAGCAGGGTGCCGGGCCTGGCCAAGCCTTGGCTTCCCTGAGGACGGTGTGAACGGTGGCCTCACCGGACAGTCAGCCAGGTCGGCCCCGGCAGAGGGCGTGGGGCAGGGGCCAGCCGCCACGAGGGCAGTGCCCTCAGCCCCGGCAGGTTCTGAGTGGCCGCCACCGGGCTCTGCTGGCTGAGCGCCGGGGAGAGGGCGGCACCCGCTCCCGCCGCACACTTCACTTCCGGGCCTGCTCGTAGTTGTCAGTGAACCAGGCACAGGTCTCCTGCACGGCTGCAGAGGCGGGCGGGTGAGGCCCAGGGACGTAGGGCAGTCACCCCGTGTCCTGCCTCCCTGCCTCCGCGGTGAGGGCGTGGAGGCCAAAGCTGCAGGGCGTCCACCCCCAACTGGCAGTAGGGAAGCTGAGGCCTGGGGAGGGGCCGGGCAGTCCTGAGGGATGGGGTGGGAGGGCTCACCCTGCTTGAAGGGCGTGAACCGGAAGTCGGGCAGGTAGGCCCGCAGCTTGCCATTACTGGCCGTCTTCTTAAACTGCCCGTCCGACTTGGTTGTATCAAACTAGGCACCTGGTCAAGGGCACAGCAGAAGGGGCAGCCCACCCCCCCACCAGCCTGCCCTTGAACCTTGTCTAGCCTTCCCAGGGGGAGCCTCCAGGAGAAAGCAACAGACACCCTCACCCCCGGCTGCCAGGGTGAGTGCCATGGGTGCGTCACACCCACGACCCCCCTGCAGGGAGGCCCACGGTCTCCTGCCTAAAACCAAAGGATACGGTGACCTCCCCATGGAAGTCCATGGCCTCCACCACGGCCTCAGCCACCTCCTGGATGGACACCTCATCCTCCTCGCCCACTGTGGGGACCGAGGGGCCAATGGCCAGGTCAGGCCTCCTCTGCCTGGACCCGCTGCCGCCCAGCCCCACGGACTTCCCGCTGCCCTGCTCAGTGGCTCTCAGGACAGACGGGTGTCCTGCCCCACTGCAATGGGGGTGGGGCTTCAGGGCACCCACCTGACAGGATGATGGGCTCCACTTCATCGTACTCCCGCAGGACCCAGATAAAGAGCCGGGCCAGGTCCTGGAGGTCAGACAGCCAGGGTCAAAGGCCACAAATTATGGCCAAACGGGCCCAGGTCACCTCTCCCAAGTGCTCCTGCTTGGCGGGGTGCAGCCCAGGCTTGGCTGGGGCCCGCGTTACCCCCCTTTGGGCAGCTCAGCCCCAAGTCCTTTCTCCTGATGAGCTCAGAGCTGTACCCAGCAACGTCCCTGGGGACAGGAACGTACACGGACCCAGCGAGGACCACTGACTGCTCCCCTGGGGGCTCAGCCTGGACACCCGGCCCTTCCTAGGCTTCCTCATGCCTCCCCACAGCCAGCACGGCAGCTCCAGGAGACGTTCTGGGGAACAGCTGTGCCCCCCTGCGGCACCAACCAGTGAGTAGATGAACTGCCTCCGAGGCCTCCCTGTGCCCCACACTGTCAAGGCTGAGCCGCGACCTGCAGGTTGGGGAGGGCAGGTGTCGGAGGGGGTGTGCCGGCGCCGCCCCTCCTCCCCGCTGGGCCCCAGGGGCCCCATCAGGCAGGCAGCCAGCTGGGCAGTGGGTGGCGTCACTCACTCTTGGCTAGGTGCACCTTGTGGATGAGGCCTGGCAGCACGTGGCCGTCCTCGATGCTGAAGTTGTCGTGGGGCCCAAAGACGTTGGTGGGGATGACAGCGGTGAAGGTGCAGCCGTGCTGCTGGAAGTAGGCCCTGCGGGGGCACAGCATCCGCTCTGGCCCTCATCCTTGGGTCACGGGTGAGCCCCGCCCCGGCCGAGGCTAGCGAGGAGGGGAGCCGAGATCTGGGAGCCCTGCCAGGGCGCCCCACTGGGCCCACCCCCCACCAGGGCATCTGGGGCCCCCTTCCCCGTTCTTGGCTGGCTTCAGCCTGGCATGCGCGGGAAGAGGACCTGTTCTGCACGTCGATCATCCTCTTGGCATAAGAGTAGCCAAAATTGCTGCTGTGCGGGGGTCCGTTGTGAATCTGGGGGAGCAGAGGAGCCGCTGCTTCTCAGCCCTGCCCCCAGGCCAGGGCCCGCCCCAGCCCCGCCCCTCACCATGGTCTCATCGATAGGGTAGCTGGTCTTGTCGGGGAAGATGCAGGTAGACAGGCAGGAGACCACCTTTCGCGCCCCCAACTCGAAGGCCGAGTGCAGCACGTTGTCGTTGATGTGTATGTTTTTCCGCTGAGGGGGCAGGGGCAGGGGCAGGGCGGGTTCAGGCCCCGGGCAGGATCCCAGCCCTTACCTGCCCCTCCAGGGACAGAAGTGCGGACACACCCTGGCAGGCAGCACCTGAGCCAGCTGTTCTACCAGCACCCAGGACCCACTGTCCAGAAACCAGCCTGTTAGTCCCACCCCCAGGGCTGTAGGAGGGTCCAGGCCTGCCTACCCTGAGGCCGGGGGAGGGCCCTGAGGAGAGGGCCACACCCCTAAGCTCAGGGCCGTGCCTGCCCACAGGGGCTGCTGAGGGCTAGGCAGGTGAGGTGCGAGCCAGGAGCTCACCCAGCTCTACTGCTCAGTAGCAGTGAAGCCTTGGCTGGCCACACCCCTCCTCCGGACCCTTCTGGGGGCTTCAGCTGGCCAGGGCATTTGGGTGGTCTGGGGAGAGGTGGTGGCCAGGCAGCCTGCTGCGAAGGCCGTCACTGAGATGAGGAGGGCCCTGTGGCGACAAGGGCCCCCAGGGAAAATCTGGTCTGAGCTTCTGCCATCCCAGGCCCGATGCAGGGCCAAACCAGGCCAAGGCCAATTTTAGAGAGGACGGGGCCAGCCCTCAGAGGCCCAGCCAGGCAGGGGCAGGGCTGTGGGCGAGCCCAGCTCACACACCTCTGCACCGCTGAGCGCACTGTGGGCCTGGCTCAGTGCAGCTGGACCTCCTGGGACCAGGAGGGTCTGAAGGCCCAGGGGGCAGGAACCAGCCGGGGGTCACAAGGCAAACACTGGCTTGTCTCAGCTCCTCCAACCCCCAGGTTAGCTCTGAGGCTTTTCCTATTGGGCCAAATGCCCCCAGGCCCACCTGCGTGCCCCTCTACCTACAAATCAAGTGTGGGTCACTGGGGGCCCCTCAGGGACTTCCTGGGGCCGGAACAGGAGCTTGGGAAGTTGGCCAGGAAGTTCCCAGAATCCGGGGTCCTGGCTCCCAGTGCTCACTGGGGCCCCCTCACTTACCCAGAAGTCCAAATTGTATTTGATATTCCGGAACAGGCCCCCCACCATTGCAGCAAGATGGATGACATGTGTGGGCCGGACTTTTTCAAACAGCGCTCGGGTCTGTGCAGCATCCCTGAGGGGGAGCCGGGCCATCAGGGGCTGTTTGGAGGCCCAAGGGAACTAGCACCCTGGCTCAAAGCACTGGGGGCAGGAGCCAGGCAGGGCCGAAGGTGGGAGGGTCAGGCCCTGGTTGGTATGAGGGTGTGGGCTTACAGGAAGAGATGGGAGGAAGTTTGCCCAGGAGCAAAACTGCACACACCCAGGCCAGGCCAGCCACCTGGCAGGGACACTGAGGCTACCAGGCCCAGAAACAGGCCTGGCCCAGAGCTCTCAGTCTGGAGAGGGCATGGTGGGGCTGCCCCAGGGATGAGCCCACTCACGTAAGATCAGCATCCTTGGAAGAAACAAACACCCAGTCCTCTCCGGGCAGCCTGGCCCCGTCTGCTACCACCTTCCGGATGGCTCTGCCCACCAGCCCAGAGCCCCCAGTCACTAGGATCCGCATGGACCCCTGGGGCTCACCCATGTTGGCTGCACCTGCAGGGCCAAATGGTGTGAGGCTGAGGCCATCCCGCTCCCACGCAACAGAACCCCACTCCCCCGAGATGCCCCAGCCTAGGGTCACTGCCCTTAGCACTGGGCCCCCCCTGTGATTTCCAAGGGCTGGCCTGTGGCAACAGGCACAGTATAAGGTCAGCAGGGCAGGGAGACTGCCCACTGGGGACCAGACAGACCCATCTAGCCTGAGTCATCCCCTCCTCTCAGCCCTGCTCCCCAGGAAGCCCTCTGTCTAGAGTTGCACAGGGGCCCTAGGGCTACCACCCAGCTGGGAGAGCCAGGCTCTGCCCTGCAGGCCCAGCCCTGACCCCCACTGGGCCAAGAAAGGGAACATTCGGCTCCCCTCTGTCTGACATGAGGGGAGGCAGCCAACCTTGGGGCTGGGGGCTCCTGGCCCAGGTCGTTCGGGCTGCTCCCAGCCAAAGTCCATTTGTTACGGACGGGGAAGGGGCGGCGCCTGTGTATGCAGCCCGGTGCCCACCAGCGGCCAGCTGGTCCCAGCTAGCTTTCGAGAGCCTGGCTCCTTCTGGGCAGGTTGCGCTTCTGGCTAAGAAATGGACAGGCCTCGGGGCGCCACCACCTCTGAGGACCCTTCCTGGGGGCTGGAAATCTGCTCGGGCCGCTACAGGACGGCTCTGACCCCGCTGCAGGGCCCCACGGGCAGCCCGGACCGGAGGGGACGCTACCCAGAAATTCCGCTGCTCTCGAGAGCTCGCGCAGCGCGGCAGCAGGCCTTGGGGTAGACCCCACAACGGCCGGGCCCCTCCACGTCCCCCAGGCGCTTCCCACCTCCCCGGGTCCCCTTCCTGGCCCCCCCCTCCGAACCCACCGCATCTTGCAGCTGGGCCCCCTCCCACGCTTCCAGGCCCCTCCTACACCCCCAGTTCCTGGCACCTCTCAGGCCCCTCTGGCTGTCACGGGGCACCCAAGGCCCAGGCCCCGGCTCGCCACACCACGCCCCCCACCCCCAGAGTCCCCTCGTGCCCCGCGCTGTCTCACCTGCGCCTTACCTGACCTGCCCGGAAAGCGGCTTCAGGCGCCGGCTGAGAGTCCTGCCACGCGTTGGGGCTAGGTGGAGAGAGCGGGACCAGGTCGGGCCCTCCCGCGGAACTCTGGGAAATGGAGTCCTGGCGGGGCGCCCCGAGCGTTGCTGGGAAATGGAGTCCTGCACTGCGCAGCAGCCTGGGAAATGTAGTTCTTTCCGGCTCCGCCTCCCCTGGGCGGACCCCGACCCGCCCTTAACCCAGCCTGGCGCTGGGCACGAGCCCCTGCTGGGGAGCGTGGGGGCGTGGGAGAGGAGGCGGTGCGTCTCCGAAAGCCCGCAAGCTGTGGACCGAGGAGAGGCGGCAGAACCAAACACCATTCTAAAAATGGAGAAGCTGCAACTCCTCAGTGCTTTCCTAGGGCAAACACTGCATTTGTGAGAAACAACTGCAACTCTGTTACTATATTCGGGACACTGAGGGGGCAATATATAAAATATACTTTAATAAATACATTAAAAAGACAAACACGTTTCAGGAGATTATTAAAAGCAGGAGACCACTTAGCGACCACTGCTGTAGTTCAGGTAATGAGGACTCAAAAGAAGTTTACTGACTTAAGCAACATCGAGGTGGTAGAATTAACGGGACTCATGCTTCACTAGCTACGCAAGTTATGGGGAGGAAGTTAGGAATGATGCCTGGTGTGATGGTTGGTGTTAGGTGTCAACTTGGCCAGGCTGTAGCACCCAGTGATTCAATCAAACACAAATCTAGGTGTTGCCAGTGAAGAGATTTTGTAGACGGTAACATCTTCAGTCAGGTGACTTTAAGAAAACGAGACTTTCAGGGGAGGAAGTTAGGAATGATGCCTGGTGTGATGGTTGGTGTTAGGTGTCAACTTGGCCAGGCTGTAGCACCCAGTGATTCAATCAAACACAAATCTAGGTGTTGCCAGTGAAGAGATTTTGTAGACGGTAACATCTTCAGTCAGGTGACTTTAAGAAAACGAGACTTTCAGGCTTGCCCTTACCTGCCCCTCCAGGGACAGAAGTGCGGACACACCCTGGCAGGCAGCACCTGAGCCAGCTGTTCTACCAGCACCCAGGACCCACTGTCCAGAAACCAGCCTGTTAGTCCCACCCCCAGGGCTGTAGGAGGGTCCAGGCCTGCCTACCCTGAGGCCGGGGGAGGGCCCTGAGGAGAGGGCCACACCCCTAAGCTCAGGGCCGTGCCTGCCCACAGGGGCTGCTGAGGGCTAGGCAGGTGAGGTGCGAGCCAGGAGCTCACCCAGCTCTACTGCTCAGTAGCAGTGAAGCCTTGGCTGGCCACACCCCTCCTCCGGACCCTTCTGGGGGCTTCAGCTGGCCAGGGCATTTGGGTGGTCTGGGGAGAGGTGGTGGCCAGGCAGCCTGCTGCGAAGGCCGTCACTGAGATGAGGAGGGCCCTGTGGCGACAAGGGCCCCCAGGGAAAATCTGGTCTGAGCTTCTGCCATCCCAGGCCCGATGCAGGGCCAAACCAGGCCAAGGCCAATTTTAGAGAGGACGGGGCCAGCCCTCAGAGGCCCAGCCAGGCAGGGGCAGGGCTGTGGGCGAGCCCAGCTCACACACCTCTGCACCGCTGAGCGCACTGTGGGCCTGGCTCAGTGCAGCTGGACCTCCTGGGACCAGGAGGGTCTGAAGGCCCAGGGGGCAGGAACCAGCCGGGGGTCACAAGGCAAACACTGGCTTGTCTCAGCTCCTCCAACCCCCAGGTTAGCTCTGAGGCTTTTCCTATTGGGCCAAATGCCCCCAGGCCCACCTGCGTGCCCCTCTACCTACAAATCAAGTGTGGGTCACTGGGGGCCCCTCAGGGACTTCCTGGGGCCGGAACAGGAGCTTGGGAAGTTGGCCAGGAAGTTCCCAGAATCCGGGGTCCTGGCTCCCAGTGCTCACTGGGGCCCCCTCACTTACCCAGAAGTCCAAATTGTATTTGATATTCCGGAACAGGCCCCCCACCATTGCAGCAAGATGGATGACATGTGTGGGCCGGACTTTTTCAAACAGCGCTCGGGTCTGTGCAGCATCCCTGAGGGGGAGCCGGGCCATCAGGGGCTGTTTGGAGGCCCAAGGGAACTAGCACCCTGGCTCAAAGCACTGGGGGCAGGAGCCAGGCAGGGCCGAAGGTGGGAGGGTCAGGCCCTGGTTGGTATGAGGGTGTGGGCTTACAGGAAGAGATGGGAGGAAGTTTGCCCAGGAGCAAAACTGCACACACCCAGGCCAGGCCAGCCACCTGGCAGGGACACTGAGGCTACCAGGCCCAGAAACAGGCCTGGCCCAGAGCTCTCAGTCTGGAGAGGGCATGGTGGGGCTGCCCCAGGGATGAGCCCACTCACGTAAGATCAGCATCCTTGGAAGAAACAAACACCCAGTCCTCTCCGGGCAGCCTGGCCCCGTCTGCTACCACCTTCCGGATGGCTCTGCCCACCAGCCCAGAGCCCCCAGTCACTAGGATCCGCATGGACCCCTGGGGCTCACCCATGTTGGCTGCACCTGCAGGGCCAAATGGTGTGAGGCTGAGGCCATCCCGCTCCCACGCAACAGAACCCCACTCCCCCGAGATGCCCCAGCCTAGGGTCACTGCCCTTAGCACTGGGCCCCCCCTGTGATTTCCAAGGGCTGGCCTGTGGCAACAGGCACAGTATAAGGTCAGCAGGGCAGGGAGACTGCCCACTGGGGACCAGACAGACCCATCTAGCCTGAGTCATCCCCTCCTCTCAGCCCTGCTCCCCAGGAAGCCCTCTGTCTAGAGTTGCACAGGGGCCCTAGGGCTACCACCCAGCTGGGAGAGCCAGGCTCTGCCCTGCAGGCCCAGCCCTGACCCCCACTGGGCCAAGAAAGGGAACATTCGGCTCCCCTCTGTCTGACATGAGGGGAGGCAGCCAACCTTGGGGCTGGGGGCTCCTGGCCCAGGTCGTTCGGGCTGCTCCCAGCCAAAGTCCATTTGTTACGGACGGGGAAGGGGCGGCGCCTGTGTATGCAGCCCGGTGCCCACCAGCGGCCAGCTGGTCCCAGCTAGCTTTCGAGAGCCTGGCTCCTTCTGGGCAGGTTGCGCTTCTGGCTAAGAAATGGACAGGCCTCGGGGCGCCACCACCTCTGAGGACCCTTCCTGGGGGCTGGAAATCTGCTCGGGCCGCTACAGGACGGCTCTGACCCCGCTGCAGGGCCCCACGGGCAGCCCGGACCGGAGGGGACGCTACCCAGAAATTCCGCTGCTCTCGAGAGCTCGCGCAGCGCGGCAGCAGGCCTTGGGGTAGACCCCACAACGGCCGGGCCCCTCCACGTCCCCCAGGCGCTTCCCACCTCCCCGGGTCCCCTTCCTGGCCCCCCCCTCCGAACCCACCGCATCTTGCAGCTGGGCCCCCTCCCACGCTTCCAGGCCCCTCCTACACCCCCAGTTCCTGGCACCTCTCAGGCCCCTCTGGCTGTCACGGGGCACCCAAGGCCCAGGCCCCGGCTCGCCACACCACGCCCCCCACCCCCAGAGTCCCCTCGTGCCCCGCGCTGTCTCACCTGCGCCTTACCTGACCTGCCCGGAAAGCGGCTTCAGGCGCCGGCTGAGAGTCCTGCCACGCGTTGGGGCTAGGTGGAGAGAGCGGGACCAGGTCGGGCCCTCCCGCGGAACTCTGGGAAATGGAGTCCTGGCGGGGCGCCCCGAGCGTTGCTGGGAAATGGAGTCCTGCACTGCGCAGCAGCCTGGGAAATGTAGTTCTTTCCGGCTCCGCCTCCCCTGGGCGGACCCCGACCCGCCCTTAACCCAGCCTGGCGCTGGGCACGAGCCCCTGCTGGGGAGCGTGGGGGCGTGGGAGAGGAGGCGGTGCGTCTCCGAAAGCCCGCAAGCTGTGGACCGAGGAGAGGCGGCAGAACCAAACACCATTCTAAAAATGGAGAAGCTGCAACTCCTCAGTGCTTTCCTAGGGCAAACACTGCATTTGTGAGAAACAACTGCAACTCTGTTACTATATTCGGGACACTGAGGGGGCAATATATAAAATATACTTTAATAAATACATTAAAAAGACAAACACGTTTCAGGAGATTATTAAAAGCAGGAGACCACTTAGCGACCACTGCTGTAGTTCAGGTAATGAGGACTCAAAAGAAGTTTACTGACTTAAGCAACATCGAGGTGGTAGAATTAACGGGACTCATGCTTCACTAGCTACGCAAGTTATGGGGAGGAAGTTAGGAATGATGCCTGGTGTGATGGTTGGTGTTAGGTGTCAACTTGGCCAGGCTGTAGCACCCAGTGATTCAATCAAACACAAATCTAGGTGTTGCCAGTGAAGAGATTTTGTAGACGGTAACATCTTCAGTCAGGTGACTTTAAGAAAACGAGACTTTCAGGCTTCCCTGGTGGCGCAGTGGTTGAGAATCTTCCTGCTAATGCAGGCGACACGGGTTCGAGCCCTGGTCTGGGAGGATCCCACATGCCGCGGAGCAGCTAGGCCCGTGAGCCACAACTACTGAGCCTGCGAGTCTGGAGCCTGTGCTCCGCAACAAGAGAGGCCACGACAGTGAGAGGCCCGCGCACCGCGATGAAGAGTGGCCCCAGCTTGCCACAACTAGAGAAAGCCCTTGCACAGAAACGAAGACCCAACACAGCAAAAATAAATAAATTAATTAATAAACTCCTACCCCTAATATCTTCAAACAAACAAACAAACTAAAAAAAAAAAAAAACGAGACTTTCTCCATAATGAGGGTGTCATCCATTTATTCAGCTGAAAAGCCTTAAGGGCAAAACTGAGGTTTCACTGAAGGAGAGGAAATTCTACCTCAAGACTGACTGGAGCATCAGCTCCTGCCTGTGAGTACTAGCCTGCCAGCCTGTCCTACAGACTTCTGACTTGCTAGCCCCACAATCACGTAAATCAATTCCTTGAGATAAATCTATATCTATATCTATATATCTATATCTATATGCCTGGGTTTCTAACTAGGTCACTGTAAGTACCGTGAGTGGAGTTTTCACCAAGGGAGGTAAAGAGCTGGAATAAAAACAATTGTAAACTGAATGCAGCAGCAGAGTAAAAGGATTATACACCATGACTAAGTGGTATTTATTTCTGCAATGCAAGGGATGGTTCAATATTCAAATAAAAAAATCAACGTAATGGGCTTCCCTGGTGGCACAGTGGTTCAGAGTCTGCCGGCCGATGCAGGGGACATGGGTTCGTGCCCCGGTCCAGGAAGATCCCACATGCTGCGGAGCGGCTAGGCCCGTGAGCCATGGCCGCTGGGCCTGCGCGTCCGGAGCCTGTGCTCTGCAACAGGAGAGACCACAACAGTGAGAGGCCCGCGTACCGCAAAAAAAAAAAAAAATCAACGTAATATACCACATTAAAAGGACAAAGAGGGCTTCCCTGGTGGTGCAGTGGTGAAGAATCCGCCTGCTACTTCAGGGGACACAGGTTCGAGCCCTGGTCCAGGAAGATCCTACATGTCGCAAAAATCAACGTAATATACCACATTAAAAGGACAAAGAGGGCTTCCCTGGTGGTGCAGTGGTGAAGAATCCGCCTGCTACTTCAGGGGACACAGGTTCGAGCCCTGGTCCAGGAAGATCCTACATGTCGCAGAGCAACTAATCCCGTGCGCCACAACTACTGAGCCTGCACTCTAGAGCCCGTGAGCCACAACTACTGAGCCCGCGTGCCACAACTACTGAAGCCCGTGCACCTAGAGCCCGTGCTCTGCAACAGGAGAAGCCACCGCAATGAGAAGCCCGCGCACCGCAACGAAGAGTAGTCCCCGCTCGCCGCAACCAGAGAAAAGCCCGTGTGCAGCAACAAAGGCCCAACGCAGCCAAATAAATCAATGTGTAAAAAATAAAATAAAATAAAATAAAATGAAGGGGAAAGAGGAGGAAGCATTCTTTAGTGTCTACCAAGTGTTAAGGAAATCATTCAGAGTAAAAGAGGAAACAGTATATATTGGAGACGGTTTCAGATAGCATAGAGTTCAAGTTACTGAACATAAAACAACACTGGAGGATTCCTGCTCATATTCCCAGAAATGCTACCATAATTCAAGCAAAGCTCTGGTGATCCAGGTGCCAAAGAAGTTCTTTTAAAATTCTATCTGCTATCAAAACAAATTTAGAAAGTGCACACGTGTTATTTACTTGTATGTTTCTTTAACAGTATGGTAGAGGTTATTGAATGATTATGACATAATATGAAACCTGTTTAATAATGGGATTGGCTGCTTTGGTTAAAGAGGAAGCATACCGTGAATGGAGGATCAAGGATTCACCTATCTAGGACACTGTGGATGGAAGCATGCATCATGCAGGAGGTTGGATATCATGACCTCTAAAGTCCACCTAGAGACCCTGTGATCATCTGTGTTGAACAGAGGTCACCCCAGACCCAGAGGAGTCATAGCTCTAATCTCATAAATGCCATCTCCATGACATCTCTGGGTATCACTTTCTGAGCAGAAAACATACCCGTCTCAAAGGAAATAAGGAAAGGTATGATAAAATAGAAGGAAAATCATAATGTATCTAGGATCAAGATGAAAAGAAAAAAAGTCTAAAAATTTCCAACAATGTTCAAAAGAAAAAGTCTAATAGCTAAGTGTTCAGGACCAGTGATTCCATCTTCCTGAGTCTTGGATTCCTTATGGTAAAATGAGAGGGGAAAGAGACTGACAGAGCACCTCAAAATTCTCCATTAGCTGAGGCAGTGACTCAGTGACTTCAGAAAGAGGCTAGTGGTACATTGGGTGCCTAACTGAAACGAGTAGATATCTATTCTTGGTTGTCACATTTTCTATTTGGGAACCACATGCCAGAATCTCAGTCTGACTCCATCTGCCTCAACTTTAAACTCCAACTTGGTAAACCTAGATGGTCCTCTTTCTAAGGTCTAACCATCTTTTTAATGAGACCAAGATACAGGGCTTATTTGTGGGTGGTGGGTGTTAGCCTTTACTCAAAGTGTCAAGTCCAGAAATGCAGCCAACTTAAAGACAAGATTATATCCACTACCTAACCAGAGACAATGAAGAAGAATGTGGATAACTATTATTTATATTTCTAAATCTGAGTAATAGGCCTGTGTTTGAAGAACACGAATATATTATAAGAATGCAACACTGTTAATTCTGTCCAAGGACCTTCATCAGCCATCTAACATGCTGTTGTTTGTCACCTCTACCTTGAGGGATTATGAGATTTTATCTAAAATGCTTTATAACTTTCCCCAAACTCTTGTCAAATCACATGCTTACATATAAAATACAATCATTCCATAAGACTATCAATGTTATGTGTCTTTCAAATATGTTTTAATAAAGGTATTCAAAGCTGGCTTAAATAATGTGACCTAAAACCTCCCATAATTTATGTCTAAGAGTTTTTTGGACCAAGGGAAAACAAGTACTGTAGGATTTCCCACACTCCCTTCAAGGATTTGAAGGACTTTAGTCTACTTGGCAAATAAAGAAAATACATTTAAGATGTAATGCTCTTGCCAGAGAAAGGGTTTTGACCTTCTAGCCAAACACATTCCAAGCTAATGGCCAACTCAAATGAAAACCAGCTTTTATTCTACAATTTGCAGAATATTTGTAACTACCATTTCCGTCTTCCCCACTCTGCGGACTCACTAATCCATTGCCCTGAAGGAGGGATTATACACAGGCCAGTGGGCAGTGGTTTCTATGTGTGAACAATGAAGAATCAGATCCTCTTTGCTCCTCCTTTTATTTTATTTTTTTTTTAACTCACCTAGCCCAGAAGTCTCCCCTGTGCTAAAGAAGCCCAAGCCTAAACATGATAGGAATGAACACCAGGCTCACAAAATTCATCATGCAAATGTAAGATGTGTGTAATGTGTTCAGGGGATGGGGGGTTATACGTATATGAATGAATGAATGAATGAATGAGAACGGTTACTGCAGAGAGCGGCACACTGGCATTTACCATCACCATCAAAGTGCTTTCTCTTATAAACTTTTAGCACACAAATGTTGACCCACATGGGATAGCACTACCAGAGATTACCAATACTTTTGATGTCATTACTTGAAAGAAAAGACCACTATTTCCCTTATTTCCTAGAAACATTGAAGCCTATAAATCTAGTGAAGATGAAGGGAGGAGATGTGGATGGAGGGCGGTAGAGGAAAGTCCCTACCCAGTGAGTAAAAAACTAAAGACGAGGGGGCTTCCCTGGTGGCGCAGTGGTTGAGAGTCCGCCTGCCGATGCAGGGGACGCGGGTTCGCGCCCCGGTCCGGGAAGATCCCACGTGCCGCGGAGCGGCTGGGCCCGTGAGCCATGGCCGCTGAGCCTGCGCGTCCGGAGCCTGTGCTCCGCAGCGGGAGAGGCCACAACAGTGAGAGGCCCGCATACGGCAAAAAAAGACGAAACCTACACGCACAGAAAGAAAGAAAGAAAAAACCCAAAACTCTTTTATTTAGACATCATGGAGATATATTTGAAATAAAATTGCCAAAAATCAGCCTCTTTTCACCTGACATACAAGTCGTCACAGACAAACAAGTGAATAATTACCTTTAAGGCCAAATTTAATGCACCCTTTTTTCCTTCTCTCAGCCCCACCTTTACGTGCACCCTCCTAGGAAGGAATTAGATTTTACCATGCCTCCTCTTCCTCTCGCCATACCGTGGAAGCAGAACTTGAGAAAGGGCTGTCCTATTGTCCCCCCCTCCTCCACAGCCCTTCCGCTCCTATGTCCCATTTCCTCCCCCCCTTTTTCTTTTTCTTTTGTGGTACGCGGGCCTCTCACTGTTGTGGCCTCACCCGTCGCGGAGCACAGGCTCCGGACGCGCAGGCTCAGCGGCCATGGCTCACGGGCCCAGCCGCTCCGCGGCACGTGGGATCCTCCCGGACCGGGGCACGAACCCGTGTCCTCTGCATCGGCAGGCGGACTCTCAACCACTGAGCCACCAGGGAAGCCCTCCCCACCTTTTTTTAGTGGAAGCTTGTAGCTGATGCTGCCAGCACACTATGCCAGGCCCCCTGCCTCTCTCGGATTTCGGCCTCCTCGCTGCAGCAGACAGCTCTGCAGAGCTCTGACTGCCAGCATCCTCTGGGGCACAGGTGCACCTCAATCCTTCTCCAGAGCTCTGTGCTGCCAGCCCACGCTGTGTGACAGGTACCACCCCGGGGGTGGGAACAGAGGACAAGTGTCCCATCTCCCTCGCTCTGATGGACAATCCCAGACGCCTCCTGCAGCCTCTCAGCAGTCACGGTCCTGGAGCTGTCGTGCTCCGCACACTTGCAGTGGCAGCTCTATACTGACTTTGCTCTCCTGTCTCCCTGCTCCCTCTCGCCTGCTTCCAAAATTGCTGTCTTCCAAATACCCCGTCTCTATACCCCAAACTCTCAGGCTCTGTGCTCAGGGGGACCCAAACTGCGGTGACTGGTACTGGACGGGGGGACTGCAACCAGGCCCCGCTGCTCAGAGGCCCACAAGCCTCTAGTGCAGGGCTGGGGTGAGAAAGCTGGCGCAGCATCAGGAGGCAGGGCCTTTGCGGCGGTAGTTGGAGACAGGGCAGCAGGAGGGGAGCGCAGGGTTACGTGGTCGTTCTTGCCGTCTAGCCATGTGGGGCAGTGGTCTTCGGGAGGCCCGTGGGGTCGCCTGTCCTTTGTAAATGTCCTGGACGGCACTGAGGAGAAGGACAGGCTCAGGGCAGCCACCCCCAGGGGAGGCCAAGAGCCAGAGGCCCCCGTAGCTGTTCTAGAGCCTCAGCTCCCCACTGTGGCTGTGCTGACTGTGGGGCACACGCTTAGCCATAAGGCCAAACGCCAAGGCTTCTGAAGACACAGGCTGGCCCATCGCCTTGGTGGAGATTAAGGCCCGGAGAGGGGAGGAGCAGGGCCCTGGGGCGCGGGGTGGGGATGCTTGGCGATGGGTAATGATCTCGGTGTGCCAGACAGTGAGCAGCTGGCCAGGCTGCTGCTTGACTTGTAGAACCAGGAAAGGCCAAGAGATGGGGAGGGGGAGGCTAAGATGAGCCGCCATGCTGGAGAACCCAATCCCTCACCCAGATCTGGGCAGTTCTCAGAGCCGGGTCAGGGGACACAGGTTCGAGCCCTGGTCCAGGAAGATCCTACATGTCGCAGAGCAACTAATCCCGTGCGCCACAACTACTGAGCCTGCACTCTAGAGCCCGTGAGCCACAACTACTGAGCCCGCGTGCCACAACTACTGAAGCCCGTGCACCTAGAGCCCGTGCTCTGCAACAGGAGAAGCCACCGCAATGAGAAGCCCGCGCACCGCAACGAAGAGTAGTCCCCGCTCGCCGCAACCAGAGAAAAGCCCGTGTGCAGCAACAAAGGCCCAACGCAGCCAAAAAATTTTAAAATAAATAATAATAAAAAAATAAAATAAGACGCCTGTAATTGTTTTTAAAAAAGACAAAGAAAAAAATACATGATCATCTCAGCTTATGCAGATAAAGCATTTGGCAAAATCTAACACCCTTTCATGATAAGAACACACTCAACAAACTAGGAATAGAAGAGAACTTCCCCAACTTAATAAAGGGCATTTATGAAAAACCCACAGCTAACATCATACTCTATGAATGAAAGACTGAAAGCTTTCCCCCTAAGGTAAGAAATTAGACAAGAATATCCATTTTTGCCACTCCTGTTAAACACCGTACTGGAATTTCTAGCCAGAGTAACTGGGCAAGAAAAAGAAAAGGCGTCCAAATTGGAAAGAAGTAAATCTATCACTATTCACAGATGACATGAGATATATACACACCTTTTCCTTCAGTGATGGACTGGAGGGGAGGGTCTGATTGCCTTAGCTTCCTCCCGGGTTGACCAGTGGCCACGGGAGGGGGTGCACCCACACTGAGACCACCACTGTGACTTCCTACAACAGATCCTAGGAAGTGCTGCAAACCAAAGGTGAGGTGCTCTTACAAAAAGAAAGAAGGAGGGGATGGATGTGGGATGGGCTGAAACAAGAGATGTTCATTACAATCCACCCCTTGAAAACCTGATATCCACATAAGCACATTTTCTCAAAAAGCAATTTCAAAACTCCTCTCAAGCCATTCCAACATAATGCAATTATTACATAGCTCTGAAACTACTCCCTCCCCCACCCCAAAGGAAGATAATCCAGTGTCTGGTTCATTAATTGCATCCTGTTTCACGTAGCATTTCGGAGCCATGTCGTCTCCTTTATTTATGGCAAGATTCCATCATATTTTTTGCATCTTATGAACTTAATTTGAATTTAACTATTGCGATCACACACTAGTAGGAAAGAGGTAAAGGGAAGAGAAAGGAAATAAGCTTTAAAATATGACTGTAGGACTTCCCTGGTGGTCCAGTGGTTAAGACTCAAAGTTTCCACTGCAGGGGGCACCAGGAACTAAGATCCTGCAGGCCCCACACGCGGCCAAAATAAATAAATTAAATAATTAATTAAACAAAATATGACTACGACACATTAAGGAAATAAATACGGAAAGAGTTACAGTCTTTGTTAATTACAGTCTGGGGCAAACTGATTTTTTTCCTCTGTTGGTGACTTACTTCTTTTTCCTGGATGTTTGTATAGTATTTTATCTTTGTGGTTCAGTAATTTCATTAGAATTTGTGTTCTCTATTTTTTTCTTAGTGCACAATCAGGTCTTTCAGTGTTGAAATCAGATATTCCTTGAGTTCAGGAAAGTTTTCTTCTGTTACAGTGTTGAATGAATCTACATAGTTTGAGTGAAACACTGTGGGCAACACCCAAATCCCCCCGTTTCATTGTCAGTTTACTGGGTTCCTACAGCACCAATATGAGTCAAAATAAAACTTCCTGTTATGTCTTACTTAATTTTATTTATTTATTTATTTATTTATTTATTTAGGCCACACTGCATGGCATGTGGGATCTTGGTTCCCCAACCAGGGATTGGAGATTCCCCTGCAGTGGAAGCACGGAGTCTTAACCACTGGACCGCCAGGGAAGCCCCATATTTTGCTTTATTTTATATCTATATATTTGTATATTTCCTCAAATGATCATGTATTGCTTCTGTAATTAAGTTATTGAATATGTCTGTAGGAAAATGGCTGGAGTTTCATTAGACATGGTGACGCTCAGCCTGTAAGTGATGGTATGATGTATCCGGGAATGACAAGAATTCAGTGGGTGGTCACAGGACACAAAGGCACAGCCTCCCCCCTGGTCCCTGATGCTTGGGCAGCATTTGCTAACTAACTTTCTTATGGATCTTCTGTGTTTCATGACCAGTGGCTTCTTTTATATCTGTTGTCTCATATTTCCACCATGTTTTAATAGTTTTTAATGTTATTATTGTATAGAAAACATTCATACTATGCAAACCTATTCTGTATAGAACTGGCTGGAAAAAAAGAACAGTTCAAACGACACGCACACTCAGTGTTTCATATGGCCTGACACAAGCAAAGAGTGAGCGCACAGGAGAGTGAAGCTGAGTGAGTAAATCACAGTGCCAACAGCGCAAGGGCTGAGCTGCCCCAGGTGGAACAATCGCATCCTCCTGCAACAAATCAGCATCCGAAAATAACAAGCAAGAACCAAATGATGACTAGAGTTATGTGACCTACCATGCCCTTTGCCAGGTGCTCAGGGCTGCTGTGTGATGAAAGATTGATTATCCAAAAGCTCTGTAGCCCATCTGGATTTCAAAGGTGTTTAGAACCCACCTATGATGCAAATAGAGACAAAGACCTACGTTTTAAGTTTCAAAAATAAAATCTGGATGCACTTGAAAATAGTGACTTTCAAACCATCAATTCGTCCAAGAAGTGCCACAGCCAAGCGGAATCCAGCAGGCTATCGGGTGGTGCCCGCCGGGGCAGGCAGGCCTGGGCCACCCCCCTGTCGTGAGAAGGACCCGAAATGCACAAGTTGATCGCGGGTGGAGAAAACAATCCGGTCCCTCGTGCTGGTCTCCCTCTGGCACTGCCCCACGTGCCTGGGGACATCCTTCTGGGGCGCTCCTTGGAGTAGCAGCGAGTCCCAAGCTCTCCCCTCCAGCGGCTGCTTCCAGAACTTAGCTTACAGAGGTCCACACTGCCTCGCTGCACAGGTGTGATTTCTGGTGGTTCCGAAAGCTGGACTTCCAGATGAGGCTCTCCCCGCACCTCGCGCACCGGAACGGCCTCCCTCGGGTGTGGATCCGCTGGTGCTGGGCGAGGAGGGTGCTGTAACTGAAGGGCTTCCCGCACCACTGGCACCCGAAGGGCTTCTCGCCGCTGTGGACGCGCGGCCGCACTGTCCGCAGGTGTGTGGCTTCTGGCCGCGTGCGCGCTGCGGTGCTGCGCCAGGTGTGAGCGCTGGCTGAACGCACGGCCACACTCCCGCACGCGTGCGGCTTCTCGGCGCTGTGCGTGGCCCGGTGTCTCACAGGCGCGACAGGTACCGGAAACTCTTGGCGCCACGTTTTGCACATGTGGGCTCGCTGCCGTTTCGTGTTTCTCTCACGGGCCCCGGGGCGCGGGCTGCGGAGAAGTTCGGGTCCCCACTTACTGCCTTTCTGGGCGCCTTCTGCTTTGGAGATGGTCCAGTAGGTTCTGCGTAGTTGTCTCTCCTGGAAAAGGAAGTTCTCAAGGCTCCCTAGCCTGCCCTCGTGCCCGGCGGCTTCTCTGCAGACCGGTGATGGACGCCCCGCCCCCTGAGAACCTTCCAGATGCTTCTGGAGGCTCTGAGGCTTGAGTCATTTTCACCCTCGCCATCACCTGCTTACGCAAAGACCCCCGTCTGGAATCTGAAACGAAGAGAAACGGCCTACCTGTTACTCTGTTTGAGAAGGTCCACCTGGGGCTCCCTCCGTGCCCAGGAGCACGGGCTCCACGTGCCAGCCCTCTCCGCGGGGTGACTCACAGGTGACCCCAGGTTCACTGGCTGTGCTCATGTACTCACCTCCTCCACAGACCTTCCGCTCCTATGTCCCATTTCCTCCCCACCTTTTTCTTTTTCTTTTGTGGTACGCGGGCCTCTCACTGTTGTGGCCTCACCCGTCGCGGAGCACAGGCTCCGGACGCGCAGGCTCAGCGGCCATGGCTCACGGGCCCAGCCGCTCCGCGGCACGTGGGATCCTCCCGGACCGGGGCACGAACCCGTGTCCTCTGCATCGGCAGGCGGACTCTCAACCACTGAGCCACCAGGGAAGCCCTCCCCACCTTTTTTTAGTGGAAGCTTGTAGCTGATGCTGCCAGCACACTATGCCAGGCCCCCTGCCTCTCTCGGATTTCGGCCTCCTCGCTGCAGCAGACAGCTCTGCAGAGCTCTGACTGCCAGCATCCTCTGGGGCACAGGTGCACCTCAATCCTTCTCCAGAGCTCTGTGCTGCCAGCCCACGCTGTGTGACAGGTACCACCCCGGGGGTGGGAACAGAGGACAAGTGTCCCATCTCCCTCGCTCTGATGGACAATCCCAGACGCCTCCTACAGCCTCTCAGCAGTCACGGTCCTGGAGCTGTCGTGCTCCGCACACTTGCAGTGGCAGCTCTATACTGACTTTGCTCTCCTGTCTCCCTGCTCCCTCTCGCCTGCTTCCAAAATTGCTGTCTTCCAAATACCCCGTCTCTATACCCCAAACTCTCAGGCTCTGTGCTCAGGGGGACCCAAACTGCGGTGACTGGTACTGGACGGGGGGACTGCAACCAGGCCCCGCTGCTCAGAGGCCCACAAGCCTCTAGTGCAGGGCTGGGGTGAGAAAGCTGGCGCAGCATCAGGAGGCAGGGCCTTTGCGGCGGTAGTTGGAGACAGGGCAGCAGGAGGGGAGCGCAGGGTTACGTGGTCGTTCTTGCCGTCTAGCCATGTGGGGCAGTGGTCTTCGGGAGGCCCGTGGGGTCGCCTGTCCTTTGTAAATGTCCTGGACGGCACTGAGGAGAAGGACAGGCTCAGGGCAGCCACCCCCAGGGGAGGCCAAGAGCCAGAGGCCCCCGTAGCTGTTCTAGAGCCTCAGCTCCCCACTGTGGCTGTGCTGACTGTGGGGCACACGCTTAGCCATAAGGCCAAACGCCAAGGCTTCTGAAGACACAGGCTCGCCCATCGCCTTGGTGGAGATTAAGGCCCGGAGAGGGGAGGAGCAGGGCCCTGGGGCGCGGGGTGGGGATGCTTGGCGATGGGTAATGATCTCGGTGTGCCAGACAGTGAGCAGCTGGCCAGGCTGCTGCTTGACTTGTAGAACCAGGAAAGGCCAAGAGATGGGGAGGGGGAGGCTAAGATGAGCCGCCATGCTGGAGAACCCAATCCCTCACCCAGATCTGGGCAGTTCTCAGAGCCGGGGCCCGGCAGCGGGGAGAACCCTCTCATCAGTCTCCTGACCTGAGGGGTAAGAGCCATTACGTTGGGAAGGGCCAAGTGGAAGCCCCAGAAACTGCCCCCAGCCCCGGCCAAGGTCCTCAACCAGCAGCTGTGCTGTGCACACACGGCCACCTCAGAGCAGAGGGATGCAGGGACGGTGGCTCCACCACAGCCCCATTCGGTCCACCTGTGTGGCCCATGAACCACCCGATGGCTCACGCCTGCTGCTGGGAACCACTGAGAGCTTGCCCAAGTGTAGGCTTGGCTTCAGCTGCTGGGCCAGACGCGGCGCCTGTGATGGGCAGAGCAGCAGCCCCTTGCACTCGGGAAGGGACGCTCAATTTGGCAAAAGTGTTCATCCACAGCGGGCCGGTGGTCACTGTGTTGATGACCTCATGCCAACTGGATGCAGTGAACGCACTGAAGCGTTACGTGCTCCAGATACCCTAGAAAGATGCCTGCACGGCAGAGGGTGGGGCAGAACCTACAAAGGGCCGGGGTCACGTCGAGTCTATGGCGAGAGGCCCAGGTGACCTCGCCCTCCTCCCTCCGGGAGACACGCCACACGGGGGAGACTGCTCCCACCTGTTGCTGAGTGACCCAGAGGCTGCCAGTGTCGAGCAGGGCCTGGAAAAAAGCCAGGGCTCTGCCTCGGGTCCCGGCTGTGAGGGGACAGGAGCCACGGGACCCTGCGTGGAGTCCCTGGCCAGCTGTGCCACGCAGAGCCCTTAGATTCTGGGCAAGGACACACTTGCCATTTCAAAAGTGGTGTGTGATGTGCCGCTGGGCTCTGCAGAGACTGGACAAGGGACAGAAAATGACCATGTGGTCAGAGCGGCCACCAGCAGACAGGTTACAGGCAGATGCATCTAAAGAGGCCTGGCAGGTCCAGAAGACACAATTAGTCATCAGAGTGAGGGCCCAGGTCCTCACGTCACTCATCTCTTTGACACCAGCAGCTGTCTCAGCTTGTCCCCGGGGCCTCCCTGGGACCCCAACAACCAGGTGGTCCAGGGCCCACTACCTGCCTGGGTGGGCTCCAAACCTGGCCAGGGATGGGGCAATCTCCCGGGGGCAGAGCTCAGGGCAGGGTGCCTGCTCGCCACTCCAAGGTGAGGATGCAGGTGAATCCCAGGGCAAGGTCACACCTGGGGAGAGGCGTGTGATGGACGGTGTACAGATCAATTGTGGGGAAGGCACTCAGGGACCAAGGGACAGAACGGCCTGTCCTGTGCATATCAGCTAGCCTCTGTCCTTGGTCACCAGAGCTTGAACAGGTGAGCCCATGGGAAGAGGAACCCCAGTGCAGGGAGGGGACGTACATAGCTCCCTCTTGTGGAAGCCCCTCTAGCTGCTGTCCCCACTGAACGGGTGACCTGTCAGCAAAGGCTGAATCCTCAGTGTGAAACCTGCAGGAGACTGACCAGCGCTTGTGGGCAACTTAATCACACAGGACCTTCCATCCTGGAGGAGACAGTGGCTGGTCCCGACCAACACTGATACCTACTCCAGACACAGGTCTGCCTGAAGCACCTTTGCCAGCACCCTGCTTCTAGGGCCCACCCCGGGTTTCTGAACGTCAGAGCCACAGGTCACAGCTTTAGATCAAGGGATCCATTTTGTGGCAAAGGAGATAAAACAGGAGGTACAGGCCCTCCAAAAACACTGGTCCCCCCATATACGCATCACTAGAGGCAGCAGCCTGATGCAACCTGGCAAGGTTCTGCTGAGGAACCAGCTGTGGCCCTCCCTGGGGTGCACAGGCACTCAACCAACGGCAGGTGTACAAGGAGCCAGGGCCATCCGCCCTGGGACACACATGCAGCATTTTTGCTTCCGCTTACTAGAACCTTTGGCTCTGCGACAGAGACTGCGTGGCCTGCAAAACCTGAAACACTTTCTGTCCTAGCCCCAGACCTCCAAGGAGGGGAGGAGGGCTAGTGACCGGGTTCAATCCCCAGTGGCCAATGATTTGATCAATCACACACATGCAGTGGAGCCTCCATAACAACCCTACGCAAAGGGGTTCGGAGAGCTTCTGGGTTGGTGACCACATGGAGGTGCTGGGGAGTAAGCACGCCTAGAGAGGGTGTGGGAGCTCTGCACCCCTTCCCCAGACCTTGCCCTGTGCCTCTCTTCCACTGGGCTGTTCCTGAGTTGTGTCCTTTATAATAAACCGGTAACTCACCAGTAACTGTTAAGTACAGTGTTTCCTTGAGTTCTGAGCTGTTCTGGCGTATTACTCAAGCCCAAGGGTGGGGTCGTGGGAGCCTCCAATCTACAGCTGGTCGATCAGAAGCACAGGTGCCAGCCTGGCCTTGTGATTGGCACCTGAAGTGGGGGCGGTCTCGTGGGACTGAGCCCTTCACGGGCAGGGTCTGCGCTAACTCCGGGTGGTCAGTGTCAGAACTAAATTGTAGGACACCCAGTTGATGTGCAGAGAGGTGGAGACTGGTTGGTGTGATGAACCCCCCTACATTTGGTGTTGGAAGCGTTGCTGTGAGAAATAGAGAACAGAAGTTTCTGTTTAACAGCAGGTGGACAGACGTGTCCCGATGGTGTGAAGGTCACCAGCGGGCCAATACCACACATGGCCAGCAGCCGTTCTTGGAGGCTGGATGTCTGACCCAACCAACGTTAAATATTCTGGCTCTCACCCCTGTGCCAACGGCATCATTTGGAGCCTGAGACCCACAGCGCAGAGAACCAACCCCACCCCCAACTTTCAGGACTTGAGCCAAGAGCCTCCCCGCAACTTTGGCCGGTTGGGTTGGGTTTTCGGTTCCTTGCAGTTGAGGGTTCTGACTGATAGCTCGTCCCACGGGGACGACGGTGTGACTGTCCTTCTGTCTGACCGTTCAGGATGCCGGCTGTGTGTACTAAGCATATGTATTGAACAGCCTGAGGCCCGCGGCACCCGTCATTCACCTGTGCTGGGGTCTCCCGCCGTCTCTCCCTCCTGGGCCCCCAGCAGGTCCGAGCCCCAGGGCTCCTTTCCTTGCTCCAGCTGGGAGATCAGAGCTGGTTTGGATCCTGGAACTCCTGCCAGAGAGGAAATGGGTGAACTGAAGCGCTACGGCACCCTTGGCTTCCCGCCCCAGGGGTAGCCTGGGACTGCGGTTTAGCTGGACCCAGGATGCAGGCTTGGAAACAGGGGGTCTCGCCAGGGGGCTGAGCGGGACAGCAAGCAGGGCAGGGATGTGGGCGCAGCCGAGGTCCACAGCTGTGGGTGAAGTGGACACTCTAGTCACCCAGCAGCAAAGTGCTGGGAAAGGCCCTGCCCCGGGGATGGGTCCAGAAACCCCACCTGTCCCCTGGGTCTGGGAGCAGAATGTCCTGGCTCTGGTCCTGGAGTCACAGCCAGCCTGGCCCCTCTGGGATCCCACCTGATCGCTGAGTGTGGGCTGGGGGTGGGGAAGAGGGAAGGCTTGGGGCTGAGACACCTCACCCAGGGAGGCCAGGTTCCTCTAAGTCTCCAGCATCACGTCTCTATACAGGGCCCTCTGCCCCGGGTCCAGACGTGCCCCTTCTTCCTGCGTGAAGTGCACAGCCATGTCCCCAAAGGTCAGCAGGCCCTGAAACAACACTGGTGCTGCCCGTGGGGTCACCACCTCAGGACGGGGTGGGGGAATTCAAGGTGGGGGAGGCAGAAGGCTCACTAGCAGGCGTGTGGGACCCCTGGATCCCGTCCCAGGTACCCTGCCTGCCAGGGGACCCCTAATGACAACCCTCAACCCAACCTGTCCAGCTGGCCCTATTTCTCTCCACCCTGCATCCCCCAACCTGCTCCCTACCGTCTTCCTTGGTGAGTGTCCCTCCCCAGCCTCAGGGAGACCCCGGGAGGAAAAGGGGAGGGGCAAGGGACGCCCCAGTGAGTTCCCTCGTCCTGGAGAGGACCTGGGACTCAGGTTCCCAGGTGCGGCGGGCTCCGCGGAAAGATCTTCCGGGTCGCAAGGAGCCCAGGTCCGGGGGGCAGGCGCGCTCACCTGGGGCCCGGCGGCCGGGGAGCTGCCCGCCAAGCCGGCTCCCGGTCCCTCCGAGGCGAGGGCAGAGGGCTGCGGAGAGGAGAGCCGGCAGGGGAGGGCGTTGGGCCCGGGGGGTCCGGACCCAGCCCCGGCCCTTCAGCGGCGTCAGCTACGAGGCTGGCCGGGACAGGTGCCTCCTGGGGACGCCGACGCTCTGCGTTGACGTGAGGACCCGGGCGCGCGGGTCAATCCATAATAAAGCAGGGGAGCTGGGTGGGCGCCGCGCGGGCAAGCGGGATAAGCCCACCCACCACCACTCCGCCCGGCCTGCCTGGGGCGACGCTACAGCTCTCGGGCTCCGCGGCTCAGCGGGGTCGGAGCGGCGCCGCGCCGGACTCACCGCCGAAGCCCAAACCCCGAATCGGGCCGCCCCAGCCAGCGCACGGTGAGCGGGGCGGCACCCGCCCGGCTCCTCCCCCTCTTTGTCTCTGCAGGCCCGCCC